GACTTTCTAATTGAAACCTAGAGGACGAGTTAGGAGTCAGCTGTGGGGGGAAAAAAGCGTCTTAGCCAGGCATAGGAAATGGTAAAAGTGAGGCTCCAGGGTTGAGAAGGACATACTGGTAGACAAGAAAGTCCATTAGTGAAGCTGGGGGATTGAGGAAGTGGAGTGGTGAGGGATAAAGCTAGAGGTGGGTTGGGAGCAGTTCCCTTGTTGGATTGTAATTGCCTGTTCCCTAGATTAGGCACACTTTTGTAGCACACTTAAATTATGTTGATCAACAACAAAAAAGGGAACGAGAATATACTTACTGTGCTTTGAACTTCTTTTGAAAATAATTTAATCTTTTAAAAACTTCCGTGGCACACAAGTGTGCTGCAGTTGAAAATCACTGCTTTAAAGAATAAATTCCTTAAAGGCAATGGCTGATTCTCCTTCAGCTTGGTGTCCTCTGTCCGGTAGTAAATGTTTGCAGGTGCCCTTTGTTATGATTTGGAGGGTGAGGTGGAAAGATTGAGTGAGCAGGTGACTACCTCCTTGGGAAGGCAGTTTGCTGGCCATCTCAGGCTGCACCTTGCCCCTGTTTGCTTGGTCACATGGTGTTTTGTTGTTGTCAGGCCTGGACAGCGAGTCCGCCTCCAGCAGCATCCGCTTCAGCAAGGCCTGCCTGAAGAATGTCTTCTCGGTCCTGCTCATCTTCATCTACCTTCTACTCATGGCCGTGGCTGTCTTCCTAGTCTACCAGACCATCACGGACTTCCGTGAGAAACTCAAGCACCCTGTCATGTCTGTGTCTTACAAAGAGGTGGATCGCTATGATGCCCCAGGTAGAGCCTGCCCCAGACAACACACCTGGGCCCCAAATCCAAGGGCATTACTGACGGATACTCCCTCAACCTCCATTGCATTCCCAGCACAGTTTAGGGCACTACAGGCAGTGTGGAGAGTAGTCTAGGTGTAGAGTACACAACCAAAGAGCTGCTGAAAGGACCCAGCTGGGTGTTTTATGTGCACAGTCTGAAGTGGTTACTGCAGAACTGGGGTGGTCAAAGAAAGCTTTGCAGAGAGGTAGGATTTGAGCTGGGCACATAGATAGGAAGAACGTGTTTCTGGGAGGAGGATCAGCAGAAGTGAGGGGAGGATAGGGAAACAGAGGGCCTCTGGAAAGCATGAGACTAACCTGGCTTGGGCCAGGAGCCAGGGATGAGGAAAAGTGAGAGTCAAGGCTGGACTGAGTTGGGGGCAGTAGCAGAGAAGGTAAGGCCATTCAGAAGTGGACAGAAGCCCTGCCTGGAGAGGGAGTCTCAGGCCATACCATGTATACTTTTCCTGCTCCTTTGGGGTGTCTAGTCCCTGAGTGTGGGGTCAGCTTTCTTCTAGACTGTCTGCTCTGGGTTGTAGGACTAGTACTGAGTGTTTTGGAGGCTCTAAAGTGAACGGGAAGGCATGAGCCCTTGGGCTCAGGCTCTGCCCACCCAGTGTAGTATCAGCTGCTCTGTCAGCAGGATGTCCCTGAGTGACCCATGGGAGGGCCTGCTCACGGGGCAGGGGCAGAGCCAGAGTCTAGGTGCCTTCTGCCCAGGGCTTCTTTATAGCCCACAGCATAGTCAACTGTGCTGGTCATGGCTCATCCACTCTGTCTTGGGCTTGACCCTCTTCCCCATGTGTCTGCTTTAGTCTCTTTATCTTTGAGTTCTACTTTCTCTGTCAGGTCTCTCAGTCTCTCAACTCTGTCTCTGATGCTATGTACTACTACACCAGCATTTCTACCTTTGAGGTTGGAACAGCTACTGTCCGTAGAGCCTTGAGCAAGGCTGGAGGAGAGGGGACTACTGGTATGCGACTCCCACACTTGGAGCTCCCTGTCAGAGCGGAGATAAGAGATGAAATGAGTTCTAGGGAATCCCATAGCTTAGAACCTCCGAGCAAGTCTGCAGGTGGATGATGGGCCAGCAGGATGGGCACAGCTGGGCTCAATAAGGGATGCTCCCTCAGAGTGTGTGGAGCAGGGATTTGAGGTTGAGTTGGTTTTATTTATTTATTTTTGAGACAGAGTCTCACTTTATCACCCTTGGTAGAGTGCTATGGCATCACAGCTCACAGCAACCTCCAACTCCTGGGCTTAGGCGAGTCGCTTGCCTCAGCCTCCCGAGTAGCTGGGACCACAGGCACCTACCACAACACCCAGCAGGTGTTGCAGTTTGGCCAGGGTTGGGTTTGAACCCACCACTCTTGGTATATGGGGCTGGTGCCCTACCCACTGAGCCACAGGCACTGCCCTCAAGTGGGTTTTAGTGTGGGCATCAGGGGCCTGTATCCTAACCCAGTGAGGGGCTCACTAAGGGGGGGCTTGTGCCCTCCACTAGGGTAGAGCTTTCTGAGAGCAGGGATGTGTCTCCTCCTATAACCTTTTTTCTTCTCCCTTCTCTGCAGCCACCCAGGGAGCACAGAACACAGATTCTTCATAGATATGAAGAGGATCTCAGAAGTGTGGTCAGGGCCTGTGACTTCTGACATTTGCTTTTCTTTGTGCCTCCAGGTATTGCCCTCTATCCTGGTCAGGCCCAGTTGCTCAGCTGTAAGCACCATTACGAGGTCATTCCCCCTCTGACCAGCCCAGGCCAGCCAGGTGACATGAATTGCACCACCCAGAGGATCAACTACACGGACCCGTTCTCCAATCAGACCATGGTAACTCTGTCTTCCAGAGCTGGGTCGGTTAGCCCCTTACCCCAAGAGCCCATGCATTCTTCTCAGTAGGCCCTCTCCCACTTACTGGCTATGGGGTCCTCGTCACCAAGCAGACACGTGGCTGTGCCAGGTGGACATTTAGCTGTGGCTGGCTCGCCTGCATTCAGAGAAGACAGTGAGGCCTTCTTTCCTTGCTGAGTGACTTTCAAGGACCCTGGCAGTGCAATGACACCTTGTCCTTGATGGAGGAATGGCAAGGCTAAAGGACAGAGCTGCTATGATACAGCACGTATGGGTCTTATACCTGACTACTTAACGGATTTGCTGGCATAGTTTTTGAAAATATAGATTCCCAGGTTCCATGTGAAGCCAACTGCATCATAATTCCTGAGGAGGGGGCCTGGGAATCCATATTTTGAAATAAATATGCCAATGTAAAGAAGGAATGTGGATCTGGAGATGAAGACTCTTAGGCCCTGGCTTTGCTTTGCCATCATCCTCAGTACTGCTGGGAATGATGACTGGAGGATAGTGTTGTGAGCATTGGAGGAGCAGTACCCACAGGCAAGGTAGGTATTTTGTATTAGAACAAAATTTACATCTTATCTTTTTTATTTTTCTTTTCTTTTCTTTTTTTTTTTTTTTGAGACAGAGTTTTACTTTGTCATCCTCGGTAGAGTGCTGTGGCATCCTAGCTCACAGCAACCTCCAACTCCTGGGCTCAAGAGATCCTCTTGCTTTGGTTTTTCTGTATTTAGTAGAGACAGGGTCTCGCTTTGGCTTAGGCTGGTTTCAAACTTGTGAGCTCAAGCAGTCCAACCACCTCGGCCTCTCAGAGTGCTAGGATTATAGAATTGAGCCACCATGCCCCACCCTCACATCTTTTTTCATCTCATATCCTTAGTTTAGAAAGGATTGAAAGGGGCTGTAATAACGGTTTTGTTTGTTTGTTTGTTTGTTTTAAAGAGACAAAGTTTCACTCTGTTGCCCAGGCTATTGCACCCTGGTGTCAGCCTAGCTCACAGAAACCTCAAAACTCCTGGGTTCAAGTGATCCTCCTGCTGAACAGTTGAGATTCCAGGTGCCTGCCACAATGTCTAGCTAATTTTTCTATTTTTAATATAGACTTGGTTCTCACTCTTGCTGGTTTTGAACTCTTGAGCTCAGGTGATCCTTCTACCTTGACCTCCTAGAATGCTGGGATTATGGATGTGAGCCACCATGCCCGGCCTGCAATAAAATTTTTTAGATCAAGAGGGGAGGAAAGGTTTTCTAGGCCAAGGAAACTGTACACCAGTACCTAAAGGGAAGAGAAAGTATATTGTCATGCTTGTGTCTCTTAGACAAAATTACCGTGTGGAGGAGGTGTTTTGGAGGGTCAGGTGCCCTAAAGAGTGATGGGAGATGACAAAATTGTATGTGTTGTACTCTGCAGCCAGACTTGCTTCTTTGGGTGATAGGGAGCTATTAGTGAGTTTTAGGATGAAAGAATGATCCTACGATTTTTCTCATTAGTATGGCTTCCTCCTAAAATCCTGCTGAAGTGATTCCTACTCCAGAATAGAATAGGCCAGAATAGGGTAGAAATTCTATTTGGATCTATTCTATTCTGATCTAATTCTTTTTTTTCTTTGAGACAATCTCACTTTTGTTGTCCCTGGTGGAGTGTTGTGGCATCATAGCTCACAGCAACCTCAGACTCTCAAGCAATTTTCTTGCCTCGGTCTCCCAAGTAGCTGGGACTCCAGGCACCCACCACAATGCCTGGCTATTTTTAGAGATGGAGTCTCACTTTTGCTCAGGCTGGTCTTGAACTCCTGAGCTCAGGTGATCTATCTGCTTCAGCCTTCCAGAGTTCTGGGATTATAGGCCTGAGCCACCATGCCCAACTCTAATTCTTTTTTTTTTTTAATTAAATCATAGCTGTGTACATTAATGCAATTGTGGGGTACAATGTGCTGGTTTTATATATAATTTGAAATATTTTCATCAAACTGGTTAACATAGCCTTCACGGCATTTTCTTAGTTATTGTGTTAAGACATTTATATTCTACCCCTAGTAAATTTTACATGCACCCTTATAAGATGCACCATAGGTGTGGTCCCGCCAATTACCCTCCCTCCACCCTTCCTTTCCTCTTCCCTTTCCCCTTCTTCTCGGGCTATAATTGGGTTATAGCTTTCATAAGAAAGCTATAAATTGGCTTTATAGTAGGGCTGAGTACATTGGATACTTTTTCTTCCATTCTTGAGATATTTTGCTAAGAAGAATATGTTCCAGCTCCATCCATGTAAACATGTAAGAGGTAAAGTCTCCATCTTTTTTTAAGGCTGCATAATATTCCATGGTGTACATATACCACAATTTATTAATCCATTCGTGGGTCAGTAGGCATTTGGGCTTCTTCCATGACTTAGCAATTATGAATTGGGCTGCAATAAACATTCTGGTACAAATATCTTTGTTATAATGTGATTTTGGTCTTCTGGATATATACCTAGTACTCTTAATTCTTTTTTGATGTATTGTATTCTGATCTATCCTGGTCAATTCTGATAGTCTCATCTATTTTGATAAATTCTGATAACCTATTCTGATACTCTGTTCTGTTGTGTTCTGAGCTGTTCTGATCCGTTTTGTTCTGTTCTTATTCTGTTTCTATTTTAATTCTATTTGAATTATTTTTTGAGACAGAATCTTACTATGTTGCCCTTGATAGAGCGCTATGGCATCACAGCTCACAGCAACCTCCAACTCTTGGGCTTGAGCGATTCTCTTGCCTCAGCCTCCCAAATAGCTGGGACTACAGGAACCTGCCATAATGCCTGGCTATTTGTTGTTGTTGTTGGCCAACCTGGGCCAGGTTCGAACCCCACCAGCCCCAGTGTATGTGTCTGGTGCCCTAACCACTGACCTATGAGGGCTGCGCCTGAATCCTATTTCTATTCTAATTCTATCCTACAACAATTCTATTCTTATCCAAATTCTAATCTTGCCTAATTCTAATTCCATTCTAGTACTATTCCTATTCTATTTCTAATTCTATTCTTGTTTTAATTATAATCAATTCTATTCCTATTCTAATTCTATTGCATTCTATTCCATCCCATTGTATTTTATTACATTTACTCTCATTTCAATTCTGTTCTAATTCTAATTCCAATTCCATTGTTATTTTGTTCTAATTCTCATTCTAATTCATTTCTCTACTTACTCTAATTATAGGCTAATTCATTCAATTTAATTCTATTCTTATTCTAAATCTGATGCTGTTTTAATTCTGATCCTATTCCAGTTGTAACTTTTCTAATTCTGTTTCTCTTTTGATTCTAATTCTATTCTTTCTATACTAATTACTTTCCTATTCTAATTCCATTTTCTATTCCTATTATAATCCTTTTTCATATTCTAATCCTGGTTATATTCAATTTAATTCTATTTTAATTCTAATTCTAATGATATTCCAGTTGAAGTCCTATTCTAACTGCATTCTTTCTATTCCATTCTATTCCAATTCTGATTCTCTTCCTCTTTTAATTTTATTCTAATTTTTTCCCATTCTATTCTAATTCTATCCCCATGCTAATTCTACTTCTAATCCTCTTCTCATTTTACTCTAATTTTATTCCTATTTTAGTTCTAGTTCCTTTTCTAGTCATTTTCCTATTCTGATCCTAGTT